CAACCATGTTGCTAAACAGTAGTTGTGTTTCACAAATACTTTTCTGAAGTTTTTTTTTATTCACCCCCAACTTTATGGCGGTGTTTCCTCTGCACTCCAATGGCTATTATTATTCTTTTTTTGCTAGAGCTGGATTTAAGGAAAATACAATGGAATAGTCTTCAGCAATAACTGAGATAATTATGATCTGTTCAGTTAAACAGAGCAGGAGCCAAATGATGTTTCTGGAGGAATCTTTACAGAACATTTCTCTGTGTATAGTAAAGCTTTTTCTCACATTTCCCAAATGTTTCTAACAACAGGTTTTTTGGAGTTATATTCAGTGATTGCATTGAGTTGTTGATACCACTTTAGCCTTCCAGCAGAGGAGCCATTGCTATGTCATCCATTGATTTTAGACATAAGCCATTTAATTACTGCAGAATCCTTCAGAAAGGTTTCTATCCAAGCAACCACACTGAAGGTTAAGCAGCTGCCTGCTCTGGGTTGAAACTTGCTGCCATTACAATTGCAGGTCCCAACCCTGATTGAGAACACCAAACACAAAACTGTGGCCTATTGAGTACAGGGTGATGCACGTTATCTACATCATGGTATGTTTTATGTAGACCAACTACTGGATAGACAACAGGCAAAACAGAAGTTGTTTTACTGTGTTTGCACAACACATTTTTCATGTTATTTTTGAGGCTCCTCCTAATAATATGAATAGATAGATTATCTGTAAGGATGTAATTGTTCTAAAGTCATTATTGATTAAATGCTGAGATGAGTAATTTTTTTCAGAAACTACCATTGAAACAAGCCTAGGCTATACTTGCTGCAGCCTAGCAGTGATGTTTTTGTGTCTTCCTCTAAATTCTTCTCCCAGCTGGGTTCTTTCATATTTCAGCATTAAAATAGATTCTTCCTAATTAGACAGATCTCTGTCATGATAATCAGCTTGAGAACTTACATGGCATTTTCATATCATATATATCTTTTTGCAAATCAGGCATGTACTTTATAATTTTTCAAAATTGTAATTGACTGAATAGCTCCTTTAACAGGCAATTGTCTCCCATAACTAGTAATTAGTGTCCTGTCAGTTGATATCGGCAGGCATTAGTGTTCAAACTGCTGACATCAGCAAATTCATCAAATCACTTATAATTGTGATATATATTTCTTTGAACTATCCAGTTGTTAAGAAAGCTTTCTAAAGATAATAATGTTTGCATGAAAGTGTATAAAGCAAATTTTAAAACCACACAAGCTAAATTACTGCATACAAACTAAGTCCACAGTCATAGACTTAGTTCTGGCACATATATCTATCATAAATCCATAAACAAGTCTATGCTTCTTTCAGATGAGAGACTGCAGTTGTTTGGTCAAGGTTATAGAGAATGTCTGATTTAATGACAGAAGTTAGTACTCGACTAGCACTCTGAGATCTCTCAGGTTTTGTCAGGACTAATCATGATGTTCTTTTTCAGTTTTTATTCACTCATATTCATTAGCTTACTAGCAGTTTTGCCTTGAGAATGAAAGTTGAGCTAAAAAACATCAGGGCTTTCATAGAAGACGGTACTCATCTTTGTAAATAATCTTTGACTAAAAATTACACAAAATAAATATTGAAATCTAATCTCTAACAAATTACCACAATTATAAAATAGGACAGCAATTAGGTAGCAGTTTTACAATATTTTCTGATGGAACTTAGATTCAACTGACAATATTAAAATAGGAGGATAATGCTGTATTTTCTTATACATGGGTATAATACAGAAAAATATAAGCACATCAACTCTTAGTGCTGAAATGGTTGAGGAAATATAGCAATATACATTTATTTGGCTCCAGTTTAACCTCCCCCGAAAAACACCTCTTTTGAGCAACACCCACTATTTTAGATTATATTCAGATGTTTTGCACTAAACTACTGATTGATACACCTATAAAACTTATAACATTGAAAGCCAATTAGCATAAACTAGATCCCAAATGATGCTACTTGGGCTTCAGAGCCTCAAGGTTGGTAAGTTATCTGAACCTGAAAAATATACCTGAAAAATCAAATATCTGAAAAATTCCAAAACATCCTAATTCTAGAATCTAAAAGTTGAAATAATAATATTCTGCACAGTTTTAAAGTGGCTATTTAAACATTTAATAAAACAAAGAAAGAAAAAATCTTCTACAAAGTACATTCAAAAGTAATCTAAAAGAAACACTCACCTTATGCCTCACTCCAGGAATGAGTGTTTCCTCTCTGGGGCCCCAGCAACTTAATTTGCAGTTTTGCTGAGGTGCAGAGATCTGACTTTATAGAGCTGCTTATAGGATCGGGATCTAAATTACCAAAAAAAAACCAAGCACACCATTTCTCTTTTTTCATTGATTTATCTGTTTCAGTTTAATATAGCACATAGCACCATAAGCACTGAAAATAAATAATAATTAATCAATTCCAAATAAAATTTTGCTGCATTTTAAATTAGAGAACTACTGTATTACTATTAAGGTGTGTTGCACATTATACATAGTGGGCCACATCCCATGTGGACCCTAAGTCAGTAAAGTTGCATTGCTTAGACTAGTTCTGAATTTGGCCTGCTGCATCAAAGGCAAAGCAATATATATGTACACACACACACATATTCATCTCTATTTTTCTTGGAATGAGTTATTACCCTTTGGAAGTAAACAGCAACAGTTTAGGCCAAAACAGAGTGTAGATTTGCGGAGTCAGTGTGTTACGAGCATTCTTCTTGGCTTCATCAAGCATTCTTCTTGGCTTGATCTAAAGCTCACTGAAGTCAGTGGGGGGAGTTTTCTCATTGACTTCAATGGCCTTTGGATCAGGCCCCTTTTCAGTAGCTCTTTCATAAGCAGGCCTGTCAGCTGAAGGGGATGCTGCAGAGAGGTGCCTGAAGCACTGACTGTTCAGAAGCTAAGCACATCCCTCTCCCTTCCTTGCCTGCTAGGCTGCCATTTTTACTGCAAAACTTCTTAAGAAATGCACTTTTCTTCAGGTCTTTTCTGTCTTTTCATACTGTGGTAAGACACAGTCCACACCTATGGTACTGTATAAATAATACATATATGCTTGCTAGTATATTGTATTCCTGTGAGGCTAATAGGAGAAAAATACTAAAAAACAAACAAACAAAAAAACAACTCCATGTCAGAGCTTCCTCTCTACTGTTATACAGTGTTTCCAAATCATTAGAGGAAGTGCTGTTTGTAAATGGGAAGGCAATTTCACTTCTCACCTGACTCCTTGGTCTCCTCTCTGAGCAGAGAAATACAACCGATTACATGCTTTGTGTAATAACTACTGATCACAGAGAGTGGTAAATAGTTTCAGCCTGATTCCCAGGTTATTTCTGGAGCCAATGTTTTAGTATGGGGAAATATAATATTTGCCCCACAGCCTTATATACTCTATAAGAAGGGAATAATTACTTTAATATTGCATTTGCCCTCCACAAAATATTCTTATACCATCTTAATCAATGTTATGTTGCAATTGCAAAGAACGGTAAGTATTCAAAAGGCAAATTTCATATTGCAGAAGTGCTTAATGAAAAAAGAAAGTGAGTTCCTCCTATTTCTAGGTTGGAAATAGTATTCTATGCTAGTCTGCAAAAAGGCCAGATATGAATATGGTTTGTCAGATCTTATGACTAATACGTGAGATCTAAATTTTCTTGAATTTCAGATACATTTTAGAAAACTTGGATTTTTACCCTAAATAAATTGTTTTATTATTATTGAAAAATATGGTTTCAGGACAATTAGTGTTATGGTTCCATTTAAACGATGATTTGTGCTGCTAGCAAATCATAAACTCTAATATTTAGTTAAAATATTTCATTTAATTCTATTGGGTCTGCAAAATGGTTTAAAACCAGGTTCCTGAGATGTTATTTTTGATCTGTTAATCATCAGTGTTGTACAGAGGAAGCACCTACTGTTTGCCTGGAAAAAATTTTCTGCTCAAGGTGTCATGTTTCTTTCTTTGTTTTAAAATAGAAAGTTCAGCTCTCTTTATTTGAGGGTCAGACTAGCTTGTTCTAATTGCAATAATTGTTTTAATTGTTCAACAATTAGAACAGAAGAGGAACATAAATCACAACTTTTTGAATTGTTTACTACTTGGTTTGTATTATGTTTGCCCACTACAAACTGTGCAGTGTTGTGTATTTCCTCAGGTTCTTGTCCATGAAATCTGCAATCTTTCTGTTTCAGTTATTTATTATTTACTTCTGCTGTCAATAGCCGTTAGTGCCCTAAACATTTTATCAACGTCTTTTATCTTTCTAACCTAATAGCCTATGTATTTAATCTTAAAAATATGTCTGGTGCAAATATACCTGGAATTTAAGAGTAAACATTTTTTTCAAGTTGCCCTCATTTGTATCCCCTATTAGCTCAATGCAAGTTATCTGTCTATCTTCCTGGAGGGGACAGAGTTTCATTGTGTCCATTCCCCCTATTTTTTAAAGGGGGGATAGTGTGGGAAGAGACATTTTTGCTTCTTGGATCGTTTTAAAACCACTGGCTTATTTACCTTTTCTTTTCCACCTGGATGGAGATGATAGACGACGCCTGCGAAGCTCCAGTGTTTCTGCGTGGTCATAGACAAGTTCTGCAATATAATGCATGCATGTGTAACAGCTTGGGCTTGCTTGAGACAGTAAATCGTATTGAATACAAGCACAAAGGCACGTTCTCACACAGAGGTCAGGAGTTGAATGAAGGCCGCCGTGCAATCACCCCCAATGTATGCATTGTTTCGGGGAGCCCTGATTTCTAGTCTAGTGCAAGGGAATAAGTAACCTGGGCGAGGGGATTAGATGGGGGATTGCCATGTCCGCTCCCGCTGGGTGGAGTCCGCGCCGGGTTTTGCACCTTGTCCCCGGGTCTGCCTCACGGCCTGGAGGAGCTGCTGCTGTGTTTACTGAGAGCTCTTGTCCTGATATCACTCCGCTGGCATGGAGGAGGAGGAGGAGGTGGAGGAGGAGAGCACTTGATCATTGTGATGGTGGCAGCAGGAGCAGGAGCAGCAGCAAGCAAAGCAAAGCATTAGGCTGTATCAGCTCGGCGATTTGCAAAGACTTCAGCTTCCACTTTTTCAGATCGCCCGGATTGTTCATGTGTTTACTTCCCCCACCCTGAGGATTTGCTATTTAGGTTCCTGTTGAAATGCAACTGAGCAGTCAAAGTACTCTGAGCACACGGTGCGGCATAAACACCAAAACTTTTTTTCTGGAAGGAAAATACAATAAGAAAGCGGCTTTGCCTGTCTTTTGGTGCTGTGGAGTGTGAGTGAGTGTGGTGTGTGACCCGTGTGTGCCTTTGCTGGATGTGTGTGAATGTTTGTGTGTGTGTATGCATGTGGAAGGGTGCGTGTTTCTCTCTATACAGGGGGAGCGAAATCTTTGGCAAAATCTCCGGAAAACTCCTGGAATTTATTTTGAAATGATGGATTATAAAAAGGAAAAGGGAGGGAAGGAACTGATCTGAGCTCTCCTCGAGTTTGCAACCCGAATTGCTGCTGCTGCTCACTTTGTTGTGATTCTTTTTACGGTTGTGTATCTGGCGATGGTAACCTTTTAGCACCTTCTTTTGCGCTTTTACATAAATACTGGAAAATTTCGTACAGGTTCGGCCGAGGGAAGAGAGAAACATTCACCTGTGTTCGCTCTACTTGTTGGTGTTTCCCCCCATGGTTCACTAAAAAGTATCACAAACAGGACCCCAGAGGAGGCAGGGGTGTGCGTGTGTGTGTGAGAGAAGGGGAGGATAAAAAGTTCTTCCAAAATAGTGTGCACGGGGAAGAGGATGGGGGATTTTGCAGCCCCCGCTGCCTCCGCGAATGGCAGCAGTATTTGCATCAACAATAACCTGAACAGCGGCCTCAGCGGGGCTGGTGGTGCCGGTATCGGGGTTAATAGCACTCCCCACGGTCCTCCTGCTGCTGCTCATAGTAACAATAATACTAATAGCGGCGGCGGCATTCCCAAGCACAGCACCGTGGTGGAGAGGCTGAGGCAGCGTATCGAAGGCTGCAGAAGGCACCATATCAACTGCGAGAGCAGGTACCAGCAAGCCCAGGCGGAGCAGCTGGAGCTGGAGCGCCGAGACACGGTGAGCCTCTACCAGAGGACCCTGGAGCAAAGGGCCAAGAAATCCGGCACCGGCGGCGGGACTAGCAAGCAGCAGCAGCAGAGCAAACAGCAGCAAGATGCCGAGGCTGCCACGGCCGAGCAGAGGAACCACACTCTGATCATGGTAAGGGGACGGGCATGGGGCGGTCGCTGTCCGCTCGGAGTTATTGACCTGGGCTGAACAGAAGCTCGGACTTTGGGAGACGGATCCGCTTAGCGGAGAGTAAACTTTACGCCTGCTCAGTCGGGTACAGGACACAATCATTAGCCGCAGAGTGCAAATGGGAGCAATATTGGGGTTGGCGGCTCGTTGAGTCCCCAAGTCTGGAAAATTAAGAGTGGGGGAAACTTTCCCCTGATAGCTGAGACCTTTCCTTTCACGAGAGAAATAGTTCTAAAGTAACGAAGTGCTCCCGCGCCCCAGGTTATCAGCTCCACTGCAGTTAAAGCGACATTAACAGAGCCGTTCCCTGCAGGAAAAGTTAGCCCAGAGTGTGGAGCATGTATTGGACCAGCCCCTTGGGTTTTACAAAGCCGTAAGAGTTTTAATCAGCCTTGCAGTGGGAGCGGAAAAGTGTGCGGCTGTAGGGATGCTGGCTGCCTGTCTGTTTCTACCCAGCAGAAAGGGACAGCTCCACTGCAGTTAAAGCGACATTAACAGAGCCGTTCCCTGCAGGAAAAGTTAGCCCAGAGTGTGGAGCATGTATTGGACCAGCCCCTTGGGTTTTACAAAGCCGTAAGAGTTTTAATCAGCCTTGCAGTGGGAGCGGAAAAGTGTGCGGCTGTAGGGATGCTGGCTGCCTGTCTGTTTCTACCCAGCAGAAAGGGACGGTAGGAGCTGGCTTTCCCCGGCTGGAGTGACAGCAGGAGGAAAGTTGGCAGGTTTCTCGCCTCAGCTGCCAGTCCGGGGGCAGGAGCCCAAGTCCCTTCCGCAGGAGGCGGCCCTCCGC